AGATTACTAATTGGTCAATCTAAGGTCATACAACTAATAAAAGTTAAAAATTTGAAATTCCATCTCACTTCTAGCAAGTACTTTATTAGATACAGTAGAGATTTCACTGAAGTTAGTCAAGTCTAAATAGTTAAATAGGCTCTAAAAATTCACCTTGACGCTTCTGGCATCTTTACAAGGCTGAGGTGGAATCCAGCCCACCCAAGCTGTCTGCCTAAAAGATGTACTATATGTTTCAATATGGCTAGCCACAGGGACATACTAGAGAAACATTACAGATCACTTTATCTCACTGTGCCACCACAGGCAGTTGACAGATGCATGCAGGTTTGAATAATGTCTCAATCACAGCAGAACAATTTGTTCTCAGCGAGATTCATGCCTGCCCATCTGCGCTAGCCACTTTCATTTAAGAGCTTAATTTACACCATGACATAACTAAAGCTGTGTGTTAAACCATCACTTTTCCACAACAGTTCTAAAGTCTTTATTCAAAGATGTCTGGCAAAAGGTATCAGCTCAAGGACACTCATGAATGGAGGAGGGTGTAAGAAAATATAAGATAAAAATATGAATTCATTACACATAAAAATCTCACATTCAGATACTTCATCCAATTCATACTTGCTACTAAGCAATAAACACATACACTTGTATAAAAATATATGTGAAAAGATGTTTTTTGTTGTTGTTTTGTGGTGTTTTGACTCAAGGAGAAATTCAACTGTTCTAATTTAAGTTAGATATTCTATATTCTACTCCAAGCTGGTTGGTCTGGCAAATGAAGAGCCAGCATAGTATGATCTAATTCTGTATCTTGTGACTACTGTAACTTAGCAGTTTTCCCCTTCCAGATTAAGGGCTTTCGTTTTAATCATAACAGTGTTCAAAATGCCTTTCCCAAACCTAAATCTTCCTGGCAATGTAACTCTTGACTGTATTCATCCACTAGAGTTCTCCTATGAAAGTCAATAAGCATTGACCCATAGAATTATTTTTAAAGAAAATATTAATCAAAAAAAAAAAAAAAGGAAATCTGAAGCAATAAAATTAAACTCAATTTAGACGTTATAAATAACTTAGTAAACTGGGCACAGTGGCTCATTCCTGTAATCCCAGCACTTTGGGAGGCTGAGGCAGGTGGATCACGAGGTCAGGAGTTCGAGACCAGCCTGCCCAATATAGTGAAACCCCATCTCTACTAAAAATACGAAAAAAAAAAAATTATCTGGGTGTGGTGGCGGGTGCCTGTAGTCCCAGCTACTTGGGAGGCTGAGGCAGGAGAATTGCTTGAACCCAGGAGGCGGAGGCTGCAGTGAGCCAAGATCATGCCACTGCACTCCAGCCTGGGTGACAGAGTGAGACACTGTCTCAAAAAAAGAAAAAAAAAAAAAAAACACAAAACAAAACTTAGTATTCAATATTAGTGAAAACTGTCCAGTGTCTGTTTTGGGAAAAAGTAATTTTCTCTTATTTTTGAAAAACCTATGGGCTTTTCAATGCAACCCAAAGGATACCTGAAATACTTTGCAACCTCTGTACCAGATAATGTTGTTGAAAGGATATATGCTTTCAAACAGCCTCATAGGTCAGAACCCTACATAATGAGGCTCTCTAGACCCTTCTAAAACAAGCCCATATTTAATAAGATTAAAAAATACTAAAGGTAAATTGAAACATATTCCCAAAGCAGTACTATTATAGAAAGCAACTTACAGGATCAGTACAGCTGTTTTAAGTTATCAAATGCCTAACTAGAATTATATGGATTGATCTGATCATTCATACAATAAACATTTATTGGACCATGTGCCAGGAACTGGACTAAGGTGCCAGGGTTATAAGCATTGTCAACTTTAGTGACCTTTTTCTTTTTCCGAAAGCAACACTTAACAATTGTCAGAGGTGCAGTCATGCTAAACTGTAAAGAAATTCAACATCAATTCTACTATTTTCCTTTACTGCAAATGGTTAAATTAGCTTTTACACCTAATTTCACTCTGGAATTTAATAAAATGATGTGTGCACACAGGAGTCCACAGACACACTCTTGCTCCTTTCCTATTTCTTTTTTTAAAAGTACCCCCCAAAAGACAGAGGACTAAAATATGTAGACTTCAGGGCCGGGTGCAGTGGCTCACACCTGTAATCCCAGCACTTTGGGAGGCCAAGGCAGGTGGATCACCTGAGGTTAGGATGTTGTAAACTCTGTTCCCACTCATGCTAATCTACAGGGATGTAGCTGTAATAAATGATGAATTATTAATGTCCTTGATATCGTGTGGAGCCAGAGGTGCCATTAATGTAGTCATTTAGTACCGTCAGGAGTAAATTATTTATAGGATGTACAAAGCAATCACAACAGTTAGAAGAAAAAATCAGGTTCAGCAAACTAATTGCAACAAAGTCCTACAGCAACAGAAACAGGGGTTTTCTTCTGCACACCCACTTATACATCTGAATCATCAACAATTTTGTTTTCAAGAATATGCAACAATAACAGGCTGAACCAGGAACTTCAGCAAAAAAACGTCTGACAGAGGCCCTTTGTAAAAGTTAAAGGATAAGAAAATATTGTGTCTGATATTTTGGGTATGACAGTGCTTCATTTAGCCAGAATAATTCAAACTTCCTTTTGTGAATGGAAACCCTTGTCTTGTTAGAGTGTACCTAGCATAATTTCGTTTTAAAAATAATACTCGGCTGGCATGGTGGCTCACACCTGTAATCCTAGCACTTTGGGAGGCTGAGGCAGGCAGATCACCTGAGGTCAGGAGTTCGAAAACAGCCTCACCAACCTGAGAAACCCCATCTCTACTAAAAATACAAAATTAGCTGGATGTGGTGGTGCATGCCTGTAATCCCAGCTACTCGGGAGGCTGAGGCAGGTGAATCGCTTGAACCCAAGAGGCAGAGGTTGCACTGAGAAGAGATTGTGCCATTGCACTCCAGCCTGGGCAACAAGAGAGAAACTCCATCTCAAAAAAAAAAAAAAGAAAAAATACAAAAAATTAGCCGGGCATGGTGGCATGTGCCTGTAATCTCAGCTACTCAAGAGGCTGAGACTGGAGAATCGCTTGAATGTGGGGAGATGCAGTGGGTCAATATGGCGCCATGCACTCCAGCCTGGGCAACAAGGGTGAAACTGTCTCAAAATAAACAAATAAATAAAAATACTCAGGGTTAGTATTATAATCAATTACCATATTGTGATTTAACATGCTGATGATCTTGAGTATTCTTGGAGTAAACTGAACTAAACACAAGAATTCTAAAACAACTCTGAAAATTGTCTGTTCTTGTAAGTTGGCTTTTCCTCTACCACTAACAGCCTTACGCTAAAAGCTCTCACTTCCTGAACTGTCAATCTTCCTTTCTATAACAGGCTACTTAACTTTTTTCAAAATTTGTTTCTAATCAATTGTCATAGGCTAGGAGATCCCAGTGCCTGTTTGAACTATCTAAATTAGGAGTAAATGAGATCTGAGAGTCTCTTCTGTGACTAAATGCTTCCTGGAAGCATTTCTGCTTTGTGGTTGAACTAGAAATGGCTAGCCATATTGGATAAACATTGGGTAAATGTCTTCAGGATAAATAAAATTTTATTATCGCTTGAAGCATAAAGCTGTTCCAAATTAAACTTTCTATCCTTCATTTGCACTGCTTATCTGTAATACATCATACAATACTTTTTAGGTGCATTTTAAAAGTCAGAGGTGCCAGAGACAGTGGCACATGCCTGTAATCCCAGCACTTTGGGAGACCAAGGTGGGAGGATCACTTGAGGCCAGGAGTTCAAGGCCAGCCTAGGCAACATAGCAAGATCCCATTTCAATAAAAAATAAAAGTAAAAAAATAAATAAATGAAGAAAAAAATAAAAAGTAAAATTTAGCCAGGCACGGTGGTTCACACCTGTAATCCCAGCACTTTGGGAGGCTCAGGTGGGCGGATCATGAGGTCAAGAAATCAAGGCCATCCTGGCCAACATGGTGAAACCCCATTTCTACTAAAAATACAAAAATTAGCCAGGCTTGGTGGCACGCACCTGTCGTCCCAGCTACTCGGGAGGCTGAGGCGAAAGAATCACTTGAACCCAGGAGGCGGAAGTTGCAGTGAGCCGAGATTGAGCCACTGCACTCCAGCCTGGCAACAGAGCAAGACTCCATCTCAAAAAAAAAAAAAAGGAAAATTTGGGTAGGCATGGTGGCATACACCTGCAGTCCCAGCTACTCGGGAGGCTGAGAGGGAAGGATCACTTGAGCCCAGGAGTTTGAGATTGCAGTGAGCTATGGACACCAGCCTGGGTGACAGAGCAAGACCCTGTGTCCAAAAAAAACAAAAAAGAAGAGAAAAAAAGTTAGAGGTAATATGAAGACAGAAACATTCATTTCAAGAATAAGGGGCATGTTTTATCTTCTTCCATTATCTTTCCTTGGGTTATTAATAATTAAAAATATTGTTTCACCAGGGAATGTAACAACAACAATAAAAAAACAGAAAATATCAATTCAACGGATACATTTAAGAATACAATCTCCTCCTTAGTATAGTGGTGAGTTAAAAATACAATCTTAGCATGCCCAGTTTGGGGACATTCGGCAAGTCACTGAAACTAAACTTTAGTCTCTTCTACAGTAAAATAAGAGTATTAGTACCAACCGTATCAGATTGCCTAGAAGATTAAAAGAAATATATATATATAAAACCCTAATTAATTGGGACCACTCCCCTAATTTATTGAAGTAGTAATCTAAATACTGCTTTTGAATTCCAATTTTATGAGAGATGCCAGTAACAAGTCAGCTCACCAAAGATTTGGTCAAATAACTGGAGTATGTGTATATATATCACAAGATTTGATGTTTTAGAATTACCTCGTGACACCATTTCAAAGAATCTACTCTGCATATCTACCTATAATTACGAAAAGATATCTACCAGGAAGTTACTGTTATAACAAAATCATAAAAAGAAACCCATAGGCTTATCAAGATGAGACCAGCTAAATCAGTTAAGCAAGACCTATACAATGGAATTCTCCGCAGTCAGTAAAAACGGTAATACAGAGAGTTATACACATAGTATGGTTTTACATATTTTTAAAGAAAAGGAAAAAAGATAGATGTGTGTGTAAAACTTTGGATGCAACCCAGCAAAGAACAGTTAAATTTAAGTGAGATGAAGGAACTTGTTATTGTTCCACTTTAAATGTTTTTGTACCATTTTAATAGTTTACCATGGGCTCCAGCCTGGCCAACACAGTGAAAATACAAAAATTAGCTGGCGTGGTGGCGCACTTCTATAACCCTAGGTACTTGGGAGGCTGAAGCAGGAGAATTGCTTGAACCTGGGAGGCAGCGGTTTCAGTGGGCTGAGATCAGGCCACTGCACTCCAACCTGGATGACAGAGCGAGACTCCATCTCAAAAACAAAAATAAAAGTTTACCATGGGTAAAAATATCTTTAACCTAATATACTAGGAAATAAGATTTTATTTTTTGAGACAGGGTCTCACTCTGTTGCCCAGGCTGAGTGCAGTGGCTTGATCATGGCTCACTGCAACCCCCAGGCTCAAACAATTCTGCTACCTCAAATTCCCAAATACCTGGGACTGCAGGCATCTGAGACTGCACCCAACTAATTTTTATTTTTTGTAGAGACAGGGTCTCGTTATGTTGCCCAGGCTGGTTCCAAACTCCTGGACTCAAGCAATCCTCCTACCTCCAATCCAGCGTCCCAAAGTACTGGGATTACAGGCATGAACCACCACACATAGCCAGAAATAAGATTTTAATTTTGTTACTTTTCTGACATTAGAATTCTTCCTACAGAATGTTTTCAAAATACCATAAATTGACCAAATCAGGTTAATTATGACACCTGAAAAGGAACAAGAAAAACTTATTAACTCCATGTTCTTTTTTGTCTTCCTAATCAGTAAGATACCTCAGAAAGATAGTGAAAAATACAAATATACTAGACTTTTTTTTTTTTTTGGACTGATATATAAAATAGTAAATTCCACTTTAGAACCCAGTGTCTGGCCTTCAAATTTCAAATAAACAAAGCTGAATTTTTCAGTGAGAAGTACAAAATCATGGAATATCACTCCTATCCATGTTTTTAATATCTGTCTTCCCTGCCCTCATTTAGAATAATAGTTCAGTAATAGTGGAACAAAGGTTCCTGCTTATATATGAAAATATGCAGAAAGCAATGGCATTTTCCATCACTACCAGTGAGCATTTTTTAGGTACCAGCATTTTCTGGTTCATATCTTTGTATCAGATCTTATAATTATTAAGCTACTGCAAAGAATTTTTTTTTAGATGAAGTCTCGCTCTGTCACCAGACCAGAGTGCAGTGGCGAGATCTCAGCTCACTGAAATCTCTACTTCCCGGGTTCAAGTGATTCTCCTGCCTCAGCCTCTGGAGGAGATGGGATTACAGGCGCCTATCACCACACCCAGCTAATTTTTTTTTTAAGTAGAGACGGGGTTTCATCATGTTAGCTACACTAGCCTTGAACTCCCAAACTCTGGTGATCCACCCGCCTCAGCCTCCCAAAGTGCTGGGACTACAAGCATGAGCCACTGTGCCTGGCCCATTCTAAAGATTTTTAAAAGTTAATTGAGATAAAACAACTTATCATTTATATTATTGGTTAAGAAGGTTTAATCGGCCGGGTGAGGTGGCTCACGCCTGTAATCCCAGCAGTTTGGGAGGCCAAGGTGGGCAGATCACAAGGTCAGGAGTTTGAGACCAGCCTGACCAACATAATGAAACCCTGTCTCTACTAAAAATACAAAAATTAGCCAGCCGTGGTGGCAGGCGCCTGTAATCCCAGCTACTCGGGAGGCTGAGGCAGGAGAATTGCTTGAACCCAGGATGAGGAGGTTGCAGTGAGCCAAGATTGCGCCACTCCACTCCAGGCTGGGAAACAGAGCAAGACTTGGTCTCAAAAAAAAAAGAATACAAATACCTTAAAAAGCTGGTTTACAACAAAGTAAAGCTCAATTAACTATCCTGTTCTTCAGGTTTTTCTCCCAAACTTGAAATCAGTAATTTGGATAGAGTATTGTAATGTTTTTCATGACTGAAATAATACAGAATAAACATGTTGAGTCATTTTCTCTGGCATAGAAAATATGACAAAAGAATGCTTTCAGAGTATTTTTTAAAAACGTTTTGCTAAACCTTTGCTTAATATGACGTGATCTTTTCTCAACTGGTTAAATGCCAGTTTTCCATTAGGACTGAAAAACCTTTAAAGAATAAAGCATATAAAATGTCATGGATCTAAAGATAAGGGAAACGTATTTTCTAGCATTAGGAAATCAAGTGATTATCTTAATATACAAGTAATCCTTTGATCACTCATGTACTGATTATGTATGTTTTACATTAGAAAATGCAAAACATTTTTAATATAATGAAATAAAATTAGGACATTAATCTCTATAAAAATAAACGGGTCCTCCAAAGTAGATAATAATTTTAAAGAATTAAGCAAAGCACAGATTTCCTCAACTAACATTCAATAAGCAACAATTACTTATGGTTCAGTGGTTCTCCATCATGGCTACACATTAGCCTCACTAGGGAAGATTTTAAAATATTGATACTTAAGTCTTGCCCCAGAACAAACAAACGAGAGAATCATCAGGGTAAGGCCAAAACAATGGTATTTTGTAAAAGCTCTCCAAGCAACAGTCTAATATACAGGTGGGGCTAAAGACATTACCAGTCCAGAAATCCATCTAATAAACCAAAGTCTGATGGGCAGAGGATGTTCTGAGTTCACATGAGATCTGGTGGTTTAAAAGTGTGCAGCTGGCCGGGCACGATGGCTCAAACCTGTAATCCCGGCACTTTGGGAGGCTGAGGCAGGTGGATCACCTGAGGTCAGGAGTTCGAGGCAAGCCTGGCCAACATGGTGAAATCCCGTCTCTACTAAAAATACAAAAATTAGCCAGGTGTGGTGGTGCGTTCCTGTAATCCCAGCTACTTGGGAGGCTGAAGCAGGAGAATCATTTGAATACGGGAGGCAGAGGTTGCAGTGAGCCAAGATCGCGCCACTGCACTCCAGCCTGGGCAACAGAAGGAGACTCTGTCTCAAAAAAATAAATAATAGAGTGAGAATGTCTCTAAATAAATAAATAATGTGACACCTCCCCTACACGACTCTCTCTCACTCCTCCTTTTGTCACGTGAAGTGCCTACTCCTGCTTCACCTTTTGCCATGAGTAAAAGCTCCCTGAGGCCTCACCGGAAGCCAAGCTGGGGCCAGTGCCACACTTCCTGTACGGTCTACAGAACTGTAAGCCAATGAAACTTCTTTCCTTTATAAGTTACCCAGTCTCAGTTAATTCTATACAGCAATGTAAGAGACTAATACACCAGGGTATATCTGTGTAACAACCAACCCCAAGGGACCTGTATCAGATCTGTATTAGATTTATTAAGGCTCTCTTATTACAGGTTTTCCTGTTCAGGTATCTTATAAACAAACAAAAATGCCTTGAAGATTGCACTAGATTTTGTGGGCGCACATATTCTGTTTACTACTTTCCCAGATATACCAGGAAAAAGAAAATAAAATATGCTAAAATCCTTAATGCAGTGAAACCATCATGTATGCTTTGAGATGACTGTTGAAAGTGAAACAGTTCATTATAACAGTAGCACGCAAGCCAGGGGAAAAGTATTTTGGATTCTGGAAACATAGCAGCTTTCCCACGCCTCATCCCCTATCCGTTTTAGGAATTTACAAGGTCTTTTATTTACTTAATTTTTTTACTTGGCACTAATTCCCAGTTAAAGTGTTTCTTTTGCAAACTCAAACTGATGTTTCTGCTATTGTCTAAAAAAGATAGACAATCTTTCTATTACATGAGATCACGTGAGAAACATCCATAATAGTTTTGGAGTATCTCAACTTCAGAAATGGGTGGCTGGAAGCCAGGTGAGGTGGCTCCCGCCTGTAATCCCAGCTTTGGGAGGCTGCAGTGGCCGGAGCACCTGAGGTCATGTGTTCGAGACCAGCCTGGCCAATACGGTGAAACCCCGTCTCTACTAAAAATACAAAAATTAGCCCGGAGAATCACGCCACTGCACTCTCGCCTGGGCGATGAACCAAGACTTGGTCTTAAAAAATAAAATAAAATAAAACCTTGCCCATATGAGGTTTACATTCTACTGAAAGGAAGACAAATATGTAGCATGTCAGATGATGCTACCTGCTAAAGACAAAAAGAAAGCCAAGCAGGGCATCAGGGATGCTTCTAGAAGAGAGATAACCTAAAAGTCCTGGGCTTCTTGAGACTGATGTAGACTAAAAGACACAGTGAGATTGGTGCTCAAAGTCTCAAGGCAGATACTGGTCTGTGTTGAAATTGTAAGCATTGGGGGGAAGTAAGAGATGCAGAATCTTTCCAGGAACAAGCACGGTTCTTCTTCACTCTTGATTGCAGACCTGCAGAGAGGTGATATTATCCATACAATAAGCGTTTCCTCTTGATTCCTGCTTATGGAAGCCTAGAGGCCACCAGAGAGGAAGTCTTACTTGGGCTTGATCACAAGAGTAAACCAGGTTGCTAAATCCATTCAACAGTCAGCTCCAGCATCTATCCCACTTTTCTGTGAAAAGCTTTATGAAAAACATCATAGACTCAAAATAGAAAGAGGAACTAAAAAATAACAACTGAGGTAAATGTGAGAGACTCTGATAAAAGAGAAACTTAATCTGTACCTTTTTTAAATGGGCTCATTTTCTTTTTGTTTTCTTTCTTTCTTTTTTTTTAAAGACAGAATCTCGCTCTGTCTCCCAGGCTGGAATACAGCGACATGATTTCAGTTCATTGCAACCTCTGCTTCCCAGGCTCAAGCAATCCTCCTACCTCAGCCTCCCAAGTAACTGGGACTAGAGTTGTGTACCAGCATACCTGGCTAATTTTTGCACCTTTTTTTTTGTTAAAGAGCGGGTTTTGCCATGTTGCCCAGGCTAGTCTTAAACTCCTGGGCTCAAGCAATACGGCTGTCTCAGCCTCCCAAGGAGCTGACCCACCGTAGCAGGTCACGGGCTCATTTTCAATTTACCACCTTGTGGTTTAAAGCAATTAAAGTAGATTCTTTTCATATATCAGCTGGATTAGCCAACTTCAAGTTATAAAGTTATGCCAAAAATATTGCCTCCTCTCACAGTTTTCTTCATAATTTTTATGCTCTACATGTAATAGAAGGTTGGAAGACTTCATTTTCAGAAAAAAAGAGAAAGAAAAACTGGAATGAACTTTAAAAGGTCTCAAATCAACTCCTCTACCTTTCAAAAACCTGAAAATGTTTTCCAGGGCTGGGCACAGTGACTCACACCTGTAATCCTAGCACTTTGGGAGGCCAAGGTGGCCCGATCACGAGGTCAGGAGTTTGAGACCAGCCTGGCCAATACAGTCTCTACTAAAAATACAAAAATTATTATATCTGAGAGCCTAGAATTAAAAAGAAAAAAAAAACAAAACAAAAATTAGTTGGGCATAGTGGCGCACACCTGTAGCCCCAGCTACTCAGGAGGCTGAGGCAGGAGAATCGCCTGAATGTGGAAGGCAGAGGTTGCTGTGAGCAGAGATCATGCCACTACAATCCAGCCTGGTGACAGATCGAGACTCCAACTCAAAAAAAAGAAGAAAAAAAAAAAAAAAAAAAAAAAAAACTAAATCCACATGTTAATAGTGAAAACATTTTGCTAGGGTTACTAAAATAGCTACAGAGGTTGAAGCTCAAGTCACACATGGAAAGACTTCCCTAGAGATATTCAACATAAGCTTATGTCTTCTCTGTACACTAAAAAAAATGAATCTGTTCACAACTTTTTTTTTTTTTTTTTGAGATGGAGTCTCCCTCTGCTGCTAGGATGGAGTGCAGTGGCCTGATCTCGGCTCACTGCAACCTCTGCCTCCCAGGTTCAAGGGATTCTCCTGCCTCAGCCTCCTGAGGAGCTGGGACTGCAGACACCACCACACCCAGCTAATTTCTGTATTTTTAGTAGAGACGGGGTTTCACCATGTTGGCCAGAATGGTCTCAATCTCTTGACCTCGTGATCTGCCCACCTCCGCCTCCCAAAGTGCTAGGATGTTCACAACTATTATAAAGAAACAAATGTAAACAAACTTTAAACAATTATAATGAAAACAGAAAGAACTAAAAAAGTATAGGTAGCTAAGTACATTTTTAACCCAATAAATAAAATAAGTCAGCAGCGGTTCCCAATATTGATCCATGATAAAATTTTTAGCAGTTGGCAGGCATGGTGGCTCATATCTGTAATCCTAGCACTTTGGGAGGCTGAAGTGGGACAATTACCTGAGGTTAGAGTTCGAGACCAGCCTGGCCAACATGGCGGAACCCCATTAAAAATACAAATACATTCCATTAAAAATACAAAAATTATCCGGGCATGGTGGAGGGCACCTATAATCCCTACTTGGGAAGCTGACGCTGAGGCAGGAGAATCACTTGAACCCGGGGTGGGGGTGGGCAGCAGAGGTTGCAGTGAGCTGAGATCATGCCACTTCACTCCAACCTGAGTGAAAGTGGGAAACTCATTTAGCAGTCTACAGTGAAATAAAATAGTAAGGAAAAGGTTGCCAATTTTTCATAAAGCTAAATCTATATAAGCTATAGAACTGTCTTTAACCCTAAAAATACGCACCTCTTAATGTTTTGGTACTATCATGAAATGACCAAGACAACAAATCACTGGGAGAAAGGGGTTCTAACACACTCACTTTGCAAAACAATAAGTTGACTGATATACCTAGTCTTCCAATGCTGTGTATGTGTGTGTGATCAGAACAACGTGATACAGAGAATCCACCCACAGAGAATCCATTCAAGCTCTGAATGACCAAATAGTATTCTAGAGTTTCTCATACAAGGAAGCATAAAGACAGTATCTGAATAGATTTCCAGAAACCAGGATTAATGAGTTTTGTCCACAATCATTTTGATGGCAACAAGGTTGAACATGTGAGTTTGAATCACTAATATATTTAAAGCATTACATGTATTTTCAACACTCAAAATTACATAAAGAAACCCAAGTGTACTTGGTGGTTTTATAGCTGAAGGCAACTGCTAAAGAATGTTTCATTTCTCAATTTACAGTCCTATCTTTTAATATTCTAAGAGTTCTAGCAATGTAAGACTTCTATCCAATTACATTTCTACAAAAGAATTGCTCTCTAAGGCATTTCACTTCAACTGAAAATGTCAATTTCATTATAGGACATTAAAAATTCTGAATGTCACTTGGCTCTAGGCAATTGGTCTTGATTAAACAAAAATCAAACCTTAACACAAAAATATATCATACATGAAATTACTTCTAAATGTTTACCTGGAGAATCTTAAAAAAGTAGGCCGCCAGGCCATGGCCAGGCGTGGTGGTTCATACCTGTAATCCTAGCACTTTGGGAGGCTAAGGCAGGCAGATCACCTGAAGTCAGGAGTTTGAGACTAGCCTGGCCAACATTGTGAAACCCCGTCTCTACTAAACATACAAAAATTAGTACGGCATAGTGGTTCATGCCTGTAATCCCAGCTACCTGGGAGGCTGAGGCAGGAGAATCACTGGAATCTGGGAGGCAGAGGCTGCAATGTGCCAAGATCGAACCACTGCACTACAGCCTGGGTGATGCATTGAGACTCAAAAAAATAAAAAAATAAAAAAGTAGGCCAGGCCAAATGTGGTGGCTCACACCTGTAATCCCAGCACTTTGAGAAGCTGAGGTGGGTGGATCACTTGACGTCAGAAGTTCAAGACCAGCCGGGCCAACATAGTGAAACCCCATCTCTATTAAAAATACAAAAAATTAGTGGAGCCAGGCGCGGTGGCTCAAGCCTGTAATCCCAGCACTTTGGGAGGCCGAGGCGGGTGGATCACGAGGTCAAGAGATCGAGACCATCCTGGTCAACACGGTGAAACCCCGTCTCTACTAAAAATACAAAAAATTAGCTGGGCATGGTGGCACGTGCCTGTAATCCCAGCTACTCAGGAGGCTGAGGCAGGAGAATTG